CCTGGCAGCCTCTCCTGATGGTGATTCTAAGGCGACACTGAGGCTGCTGAGAATTGTGGCTATTGAAAAATGAGAATTAACTTCTGAGCATTTCCTGGGTGTCAGACATGGTACTGAGAGGCTCCCCTGCTTTACCCTCTCTTTATTTCCCCCAATCTTCCTGGGATAATCTTATCTCTCTCTTACAGATAACATTGAGGTTTTAAGGATTGAAGCTATCCAAACTGAACTTGATTCTAGTCCATTTAACTCCAAAACCTTTTCCTTCCTCCATTCAACACCCAGCACAGACTTTAGCAAAATAAGAACTTTTATAAATTCTCTAGAAGCTTACATAATCAATTGCCTCATTCACTTCTTTATCTGAGTAGGAACTTCCCTGTCTTCTCCATAAAATGTGAAATAAGGACCTGAAGCTCTTTAATTAGGGACTTTGAGTCTTTCAGATGGGATCTGGCCACACTGCCCAGTCTCCACACTGCCTGGATGCCATCTTGACAGCAACCATCCCTATGCAAAAGGACACTGCCAAATATCCCTTCTGCTCTTACCAAGCCCTCTTCAAATGTGGATCTCAAAGCACACCATAATCAGTACAATCACTCACATCCTGTCTAGATGAGTAGCAACATTTTATATGTACAAACTCCCCATCATCCCAAGGCCCTCCAGGAGAATGCAAATGTTCCCAACTTTAAAGAGTAAGCAGTAGAGTAATTGAAAGGAGCTGTACCTTGGCCATCACTAAAGACCTCAAAGGCATTTATAGATGACCTATATGTGAAAATATAGTGACTACAAAGTATGTCGGAAAGCTTGCCAACCATGCTGTACCAATAACTGCTTCAAAGACAGGAAAGACAGTATAAGAATAAAGTATCCAGTTCTTACAAGTCAGATAACCCCAGAACCAAAATTCTGATCTGTTTGTTCAAGTCTCCTAAGGTTCTAGAAGCAGTGAAGTGATGGCATTAACTGATAATCCAGTTACTTGTGTTAATCAAGGAAGAGGGGACAGACGGGGCCAATTAAGTAGCTGGGCAGTTCAATGATAGATGAGTCATTACAGGCAAGTGTAAAGATAATGCCACTGGGGAAAACAATTTAAGTCATTTGTGCATTTTCAGGCCAGGAAATCCTAGTCTTTGAGGGGAAACATTTAGGAATCATCAGGCCCAGCCTAATGAAGTCATCTGTTCATTGTGCAGCTAACAATCAACAAAAGAGCTGAACACACAAGGGGACACGCCATATGGAATACATCTGGGTGACTGGGAGGTATATGCAAGCCTTCTTTTCAATAATCTTTATAACAACTCTTACCTCAGCCCTCTTCTGGTCCTTCAGCCCATTTTCCTCCCTTCATGCTCTTATCTCCCTAAGTAAAAAGTTTCAATGTTACAGGTGAATTTTTAAGCCAAATATTATTCCTCCTAATTTGTAGATCTGTACTTCAAATAGGCTGGTCTGTATATGTGCAAGTTTCTAAGAGATATTTCAGCATGCTGTAAAATCATGCTTTTTTTTTTTTAATCATCGAAGAGGCTGTGTCTGTACAATAGAATTTATGCAGGTAGTCAGTCCCATGTCTCTTTAGATCCCTTATATTTATGTGGGAAATTTAGAATTGGAGAATGAGGGGACATTTTTATTGTTGTTGTTATTTTCTTTTGTTTCTTTAAGGATGAGGGTGGGGGGAAGGACGTACACATGAAAATAAAGCATGCTTGCAACTACCTGTTTCTTTATCTCAATGGCCCATCCAGGAACTCAAAAGTAAAGGTTATTATCAGTGACTGTTATGTTGCTGAATCCCAGGAATATTATTCCATCTTCTCTCTTCTCTCTCTGTTTCTCTCTCTGTCTCTCTGTCTCTCTCTCTCTCTCTCTCCCCCCATTTTGTCTTCCATTTAGGCTCACTCTCCCCATCACGATCTTTAATTGTTGGATTATTCAATCCCTGTAGACTCATCCCTCCTATTTTTCTTTTGACAATCTTCCCTTGCTCAGGCTCATTTGCTTCACACTCAACCACAGCTCACTTGGATCTCTGCCACTCTACTTTCCTACCCACCGTCACACCATGGCATTGTTTTCTCTACCTGGCTGATCTTCTCTGACTTTTTTCTGCCGAATAATTTGTTCATACTTCAGATTATAGCCTGATTGGAACCAGGCTTTCTTGGGCTTGGTTCAACACTCACAACAGCTCCCCACTGACTATAAGCCTTTTCTGTTTCTGTATTTTCCCTTCTCATTGCTACCGATGAGCTTTGCATGACCATGTCTCTTCACAGGTTGCCACAGCTTCTAGTAATCCATGGCTCACTCTGTCTCACAGGTTCTACTAACAAGCTCTTCTCTCCATGTCTTGCAATTTTGCTCTATCAACTGTTAGCTCTAGATGCTCTACCAGCAAGAGGATCCGGTTTAATCCGTATATATCATCTCTTTGACAAAGTTCCTATGGCAGACTGCTTCATGACTCCAAGGCCAATACCCAAATGGATTCCCCTTGGGTCAAGGGGATCCCTCACCCACTTTCTATGGCCAGGATGAGGGGACTAAAATGCCAATAGATGTTTTCTCTGTCATAATGTGCTTACCAGGAACTGAAGAGTTGGGGAAGAATTTTCCTTGAGAATGGGATGGAGCAGTAATGGAAAAGAAGCACAGACAAGTGAGGCATTTATAACCTTGAATTTCTACCCAACAAAGTCTTCATTCCTCTGCATATACAGTTAGAACAATTAGGCTATAAAGTTTAAGTGCCTCTAGACTAATAAGTGAAAGAATCTCTAAAGTATTTGTGGCGTGACTGACCGTATCACTCAACATGCCAGAGGAATAGATAAAGAAATGACTTCTGGACTTCTGCTGGCTCACTCAACTCACTGGGTATATACCTTCAGGTCCGTCACCCAAAATGAAAGGGCTTCATGGGTCTCCCCTTTAGCAGGCCTTGCATTCTTATCTCTGGTATCTCCCCGACCCCTTACAGCACAAGGCTGTCAAAAGTATTCTCAGACTTCAACTTCTCAACTCTCTCTACTATGAAGTGGGCATAATTATGACTAGTTATAATATGAATAGCCAGTAGAGATAAAAGTTTTATTAAAGATCAGAGAAATGCGGCCACCACCCATTCATTATCTGCAGGGGTTAATAGGACAAGTTCTAGAACCCAATTGCCTGGGCTAAATTCTAGCTTGGCTACCTATACAAACTTAAGTAAGCACTTGGCTTCCCCTTATTGCATAAAATTACAGTACCTACCTAATATGGCCATCATAAAGTAGTATTAGATAAGATACTAAATACCACATACATGTACATGGGCTATAATCATTGTTATTGATAATTTTTAATTTTTATTTGATTTTGTGTGCACTAGTGTGGCAATCAGAAGACAACGCTAGAGAGTTAGCTCTTTCCTGTCCTCTTGTGGGATCCAGGGATCAGGTCCTCAGGCCTATGCACTAGTGCTTTTAACCACTGAGCCATCTCATTGGCACCCTATTGGTATATCTTTTAGGCCACCCAATCAAACTACTGGCTGCCCAATACTCGAGATGAATTTTCTTGCAGGTGGCAGAAAAGGATATTTACCGATTCACACAAAAGGAAGTTCAAATGATGATCTTACTTAAACATGGCTAGATGCAAGTGCTTCCCTCCAGATCCTCACTATGTTGTGCCGTGGTTTTGTCTAACTCAGTATTATTCTCAGCAGGCTTCGTCCATGTGCTGTTAAAGATATAGTGTGAGGACTACCTCTGCCTTTCACAAAGATCCCTTCACATCCTTTCACAATCCCAAATTGTATTCCATCGATGAACTAATAAGTAGACAGAGCATTCAACTAGCCAAGCCCTTGTGACAAAAGGGAACGGTACCAAGTTTACTCAAACGTCATCATCCACTGGAGGAAGGATGCTGAACAGAAGATGTCCGCAGCTCAATCCTTTGTCAAAGCAAAAGGGGACCACAATTGACATGTTTGCTGAAATGTTCACCTTTTGCTCTCTGGATTGTTATAAACACCCATGAATGATGTTTAAAATGTTGGATAACTTCTGGAGCAGGACCTCAGTCCGGTTTAAATGAACACCTAAACAATCAGAATTGAAGGCATCTAGAGACAACCAGTATAACTGCAGAAACACAGTCCCACTGATTAGCAGCCCTCCACCGAATGCAAACATTAGGTCAATGTTCAGTCACACTCATTCTCATTGAGCACTCTCCAATTCTGCCTGGCTTGTTCACCTGTTCCTCCCACTTGGAGGAAGGGCTGAAATAGGCATATTTCCTCAGAAGTTTTCCTCCTCTTTAATCATGTGTGTGACCATAGTTCTAAGACACACACTTCGGAACTGAGTATCAATAACTATGATATGGACACACGTTTTGCCTGTCGTGTTTCAGACCAATGCTGTCCCTTCTTTCCTCCTCTCTTCTACTACCAAATACTTTATGAAACAGCCCTTGTCAGCTGGCTCCATCTTTGTCTGGGAGTATGCTACTTTAATTCAAGTTAGATGAATTGCCCTTTAATTAGAGTCTAAGACCCAGAATTCTATGGGCTGCCTCAATTAAGATAAAGTGTTACCAATAGCTGATAAGGAGCATGTGTGTGTGTGTGTGTGTGTGTGTGTGTGTGTGTGTGTGAACCCTTATTACCCATCCTTCTCCTTAGTGATTAAAGCACTTAGCACACAATCTATAAACAAGATGTACCAGCCTCTCACCAGTCATGTAGCCTATCTCAGCCCTGGTTGCTTATGACACCTAGCAGCACCCTTTTCCCAGCCAGTTGTCCAAGCACAGCACAGTACCTCTACCTGCTCACCAGGAAATATGTCCCCATTCTATTCCCATCCCCTCCTGACTAATATGCAAGTCTACAGAAAGACTTAGAAATGCTTGCCAGGTTGACCTGACCTTTACTTCCCTTTTCATGATTGGAACTGAAGGATTTCATGCCTGTCTCCTTTCAGGTTTGCAGAGAATACAGCAACTTACAAAAAACATAAAATACTTCAGACGACGACTGATGGAAATGGGATTCATTATCTATGGCAATGACTACTCTCCCATTGTTCCGGTCCTCCTTTACATGCCTGCTAAAGTATCGTGAGTATCCAACGACTCTCAGAATCATGCCAGACCCCAGTGTGTTCTGACTAAGAGGGCACATTTGAGACTGTGGGGCCTTCGGTACAGTGATTAGATCATGCACATGAAGGGACGCTGAAGTTCAGAATTCATTTGCACAGTTTCTCAAAAGCCACCTGCAAGCATCTGCAGGACTCTTTTCCACATGCCTTCCAGAAAAAAAGAACCTGGGGCTAAGGCACATCTCTACACCATTTTCAAGCTCTGGAAATTTGGGGAAATCACTTATCTCAACTGTAAATCAAGGGCATTCCTGAGCCTTCCTCTGACCCAAGAACTTCGCTCCAACATATAACTCCATTATTGGAACTTTCTGTTTGAACCTCCAGCCATCTGAACAAATAGAGAAACTGTAGTGCAGAAAATACTATTTAAAAGATGTTTGGAAACTAGACTATTAAGAACTCATCCAGAGCAGAACTGAGTTGTAAGTTCTCAGAAAAGTGACTCTTCGAAGTATGAACTTGTGTCATTTTGCCACAGGAAAATAACAAGCAGCTGAAACACACATGAGAGTGCGTTGTTTAGCATGCCACACCATTACCATCAGTCAACCCTTTGTTCACACACATAGGTCAAAGAAACAATGCACAGAGCATCCAAGGAGCCAGGATGCAGTGCCATACTGCTCAATAGGGGAGAGTGATAATGGTGATTCCAAGTAACAACCAATCCAAACCCTTCGACCATCTGATTTTAGAAGGCACAAACGAACACATGCATTTTTTTCAACATGACTGGGTAAATAGCATGTTCACATGTTCTGGTAGGAAGATTTCAAACTTAGATCATGTCTACCTAATATTTTATTGTTAGCACGAAAGAAGGCACCAAATATAAACTCACGGAGCTACACAGAGTTTAGTGGTGTCAGGAAGCAGGGTGCTGGGCAGCTCTGACTTTGATGATGGAGACCAGAATTAGAATCTCAACAAGTTGGTGAATAAGCCTAATGAAAAGAGTCCATAAATAGTAAAAGTAGCACTTATTGTTTAAATGAAATTTGTTTTTAAACTGAAACACGATATTAAAATTATACATATTAATTGGATACGATGTGATATTCATATACATGTATATATTGCATACATTGTATGGTGTTTATTTTTTAGTATATTTATTATTTTTATTTTATGTGTATACATGTATTGCCTGCATGTAGGTAAGTGCACCCGTGTCGCGCAATACCTGTGGAGGTCAGAAGAAGCTGTCAGATCCACTGGGACTGGAGTTACGGACAGTTGTTAGATGCCGTGTGGGTACTGGGATTCGAACCTGGGTCTTCTGCAAGAACAACCAGTGTTCTTAATTGCTGAGCCATCTCTCCAGCCCCATTGTATGGTGTTTAAATAAGGTGAAACATAACTGTTTCCTCAAGCATTTATCTTTCCCTTTTGGTGAACATAATGAAAATCTTTCTTTGAGCTTTTAGAGATATGCAATATATAATTGTGCTCCGTAGTTATCCGACGATGTAATAGTATGCCAGAATTTCAAATACATTTCAGTTCAAGAATTTACTAATACAATATGCTTCATATAAAAATTACTCTTGATGGGGTAGTAAGTGGTTTGGAAAAGAATTTGGCTCAGATTTTTTCTAACCTGGGACTCTTAGAAAAGCAATCCAACCATCTTGAACACTAGTTTTCTCATGTATGAAATCAGATAGAATATTACCAACTTCCTAAGACTGAATAGGATAAATGGCTGAGGATATAGCTCAGTGATAGAGCACTTACCTAGCATGCACAAGACGCTGGGTCTAATCTCCAGCACTGATCAAAGGATAAAGTTTGAGAAGCTAAGATTGCTGAGTTTTTCTTCTATTCTAAATAAGGTTGTTTGACCCAATGATCACTCACTGAGGATGGGATGCTTACCCCTAATTTATAAATGAGAACATAAGACTTACATACAAAGGTCAGACCTCTTCATAGGCTTCACCCAGGTTGTAGGCAGCAAGTTGAGAACTCAGTGTCACTTTCATTTGCTCCTAAACTCAAGTTCTGAAATATGTAGCACAGCATTTCAAGCTTAAGTCCAAAGAATGAAATGCACATCTCGACAAAGCAACACGGAGTGTAGATATAACTGCATTAAATTTTTTTGAAATTTTACTGATTTTTTGTGCATTTCCTACAATACATCTTACTCATATTTAGACCCCTGCCCTGTCTGCACTCCCTATGCCCTTCCCACCAGATTGCATGCAGTCTGTCTGTTAAGGCCTGTTGAGTCAAGTTTGTGTCCCCAGATGTTCCTCAGTGTGAGTTCATTCACTGGAGCCTGGTCAGCCTACCTAGCATCACTCCCTTAAAAAAGACCAGCTCTCCCTCACTCAGCAGTGATTAGTTGCCAATAGTTCCTCAGCTGAGGCTGGGGCTTCTTACTTTCCCCACTCTTATGCTGAGTACTTGTCTGGTTTGAGTTTACATAGATCTTGTACATGCTGTCATCATTGCTATAAGCTCATATGTTCTTTTTGACCATTCAAAATGCATCCGTCATTATGACAGAAAAATATCTGCTTGAGGTTGCCTAAGGAAACTAAGAACAGGTGATGCCGAAAAGGTACTAGCACCTATTGCTAGTGAAAGTCATTTGCTGGCATTGCTCTACCGCCCAGCTTTGTTTCTTTCTACAATATTTCTTTCACTGGAAGTTTATCTGTAGAGAAGCTTTTGAAACAGGGAGTACATTGTATCAGCCAGTGTAGAAGGACTTGTTTCCATCTGCACATTTAAAACCTTTGATGCCGGGGGCTGGGAGATAGATAGCTCAGTTGGTAAATGCCTACCAGATCCCCACCACCCACCTAAAAGTCATGCACAGGATGCACATCTGTAGTCACAGTGCAAAGATAAGCAAGTCCCTGAAGTTGTGCGTCAGCCGACCTAGACGTACTGATGAGCAACACATTCAGTGAGAGATATCTTCAGAAAGAACAAAAGGTGGAAAAGGATTGAAGAAGATACCCAACATTCACCTCTGACCTCCAACTGCATATGCACCTACACACCTACACACCTACACACACACACACACACACACACACAAAATGAATAAATTAAAATTTAAACCTTTGATATTATTAAATTTTGTGATCTAGTCATATTTCCACCTATATAAAATGAAAAGATAATCTCAAGCCAAGTATCCTTTTGAACACATTACTGCTCTACACTCATATACAGAGTTCAATATAATATGATTTCAGCCACAAAATGTGCAAATTGGGCTGGTGAGATAGCCAGCAGATAAAGGTGCTTATCACCGAGCCTGACAACCTGAGTATACATGGCGGAAGGAGAGAACTAACTCCTGAAAGTTGTCTACTGACTTCCACACATGTGCCATCATGGGCATACACACGCACGCATGCATGCGCACACAGAGACAAAATAAATAAATGTAAAAAAAATTAAATGTTCAGATCGAGAATGTATTATATTTAGCATGAGGTACAAGGTTTGCATTTTCTTTCCACAGTCCTTGTACACTTGGGAGATGATGGTCTATAAGATGCAATGGTGCTGCTTTCTGTGCAGTGTTAACATGTATCATCATCGTCATCACCACCATCATCATTTCACATTGTTTAGCTTCCTCTAACCTACAGTAGTTCTAATTTGCCTTGGAGATTACATATCATGAGGATCATTATCTAAAATGTTCAGTGCTATCATATATATTAACTGAAGGATGCTAGCTGTAGCATTGTAAGTTTTCAATTCAAAACGGCTTCAGGGAGGCCCCAGATTATCCCAATGAATCAGCAGTCTTAGATTTTGTTCCACATTCTTTGGCAAACTCACTTCCTTTGGCACAAAAGGAAACACAGACAGTGAAATGGTCTTCTGGGAGTCCTGAAAACTGGCCCGAGATCATGGGTCAGGTGGTTTGTAGTCTAGCAATAAAAGCATTTGACTTGTTTCTCAGACAATTCTGAGCTCTCATCCTGTGCACTGCCGTGGGCAGCCTTCCATAGGGTGATCAAGAAGGGGAAAGAACAGGGTCTGTTTTCAAGCTTTCTCAGCTAGAAAGTTTTGCCGCCTTGTAACCTTCCCAGTGGAAATCAAAGGGGAACTTGCCTTGCCCAAGCCAGGGGGCCAGAGGGGCTGTGTGTTGGGTAGGTTGTGCTGTCTCCACTGCTTTATTGGATAATGTGTGTTCTGCATGAGGTACCCAAAAGACAGACAGCTAAAGAGCAAGGTGATGAAAGTCTGAACAGCCTGGTTTAGTCATTTTCTGAATAATGATGATAAGTTTTCTGTGGTGTTGTCAGCTTCCAGCCTAAGATAATATACCAGCAAGTTCTTAATGCTAAGAACAGACCTGAGGCCTTGACTTCACTTGAGGGTAGGGCTCTCAGCAATTAAGGTTTCCTGCAGAGACCAACAGAGACCAAGCGGAGAAAAGATTCACTTGGGGGTACATGCCTTTTCATCTGACTTTGGCTCTTAGCACGAGCAATTTATAGACTTTGAGTTTAATATTCTGGAGTCGTTACTGGGATTAGCTTTGGAATAAAAGAAAGGCTGAAGGATGAAGTAAAGGAATCAAATCTTACAAAGGTTTTACCCTGCATCACAGAGCCCTGTAGTCATATGACTTACATCATCTAGTCTGTAACTGCTCATGAGGGTTTTCTTCTTTCCCTGCCTCTTTCCTACCTGATTCCTCTTGAGCCCAATCAATAGGCTAGTATTCTTATGCACATCTGCATGTGTCCATTCAACACCAAAAATTTAAGGAGATCCTTGCTGTTTCTTATTTCTCATTTGACTTAACATATAATCTTTGGCCTTGGAGTAGGAATGTTGACTTGAGTCACTAAGTATGCCTTTTGTGAAATGCTCAGTTAATATTACTAAGTTTTAAAGACATATAGGTTTGCATTTAATAAATATTATTTCTTATGTCACTGTATTAGTTTATCTGTTTGGTTTATAGTCCCCAGAACTCTGCAGATAAAGAATTTCAAATCAATGCAGACTTGTTAAATCAGTCACAGACATCGGTGTTTTCTGCTCAGTGTCAAAGGCTTAATACCCACAATTATCCCACAAGTGTGTCAGATTCTGTATTACCACACACTCAGTTTTGAGAGACAGTGTGTCATTTCTTTGTCTGTTGCATTTGACAGAGTTTAATGACTTTAATCATTCTCTACTTATTATCATTGAAAAGAACAAGTCAATTAGCTGTACTCTTTTTTCAGTAGGAAAATTCTGTCTTCTCTCAGGTAACCCTTTACTTTTCTTTCCCTAAGGGCTTTTGCAAGACATATGCTTAAGGAAAAAATCGGAGTGGTAGTTGTTGGATTTCCAGCCACTTCACTTGCAGAAGCTCGAGCTCGGTTCTCTATTTCATCAGCACATACTCAAGAGATGTTAGACAGAGTAAGTACCATCCATCTACCAACAAAATCTTACTTCTGCTGCCTTGGTTCTGAGCAAGTTCTTACATTGAGCCACCTTGAGGTTCTTTAGGGTGATTAAAGAAAGAAAACAAATGACAAACTCCTTGCTAAAATATAAAGACCATTAGCATATGTCGACAATATCCAACAATGTGATCAAATCAGTAGATAGAAAAAAAAAGATTTTATTGAAGGCTGAGTCAAGTCAGAAGTTTGGTTTCATAGAAAAGACTGAGTAGTCAAATGTTTTATTTACCCTAAAAAGTAAAAGCTGGTTTTGCATGGCACTTTAAGCATTGTTTTGGAGGTACAAAATCTTCTGTAATAAAATATGACTCAACTCAAAAATACCTATAGGAAAACCAAAGAAAACAGTTCTTTCTATATGATATCACTCAGACCTAAGTTAGGTAGAAGTAATTTCAAAAGCATATTTTCTTATCCCTTCATTTTATGTGAGTATATATCAGAAAACTAAGCTGTTTCAATATAAAGTTAAGAGAACTGTCTCATAACATGAATGCAGAATTATAAACAAAAAATTAGAAGATACTAAAAAACTAGATTAGTAATAAAATAATGGTACTTCCAGACAGAATAAATTAATCATGAGAAAGAAATAAGAAATAATATGAGAATATACAGGTAGAAATGAATTACTATAGGAAGGAATATTCACAAGTAAGTGATTTTTCAGATGGGCTCTTTTAAATGATGATTATAGCACATCATTCACTCTTTCTGACCAGTGGAGCAATATAATCAGTCACTATGAAATAGGTTAGAGTGAAAAGAAGCAAGAGAAAGGGCCCCAAAATGGAGTTGTTTGAACAAAACAAGAGCTGACAAGGCCAATGGCAGTGGAAACAACAATAAAAATAGAACTATGAACACACATAATGAATGCATGAACTGCCAAGATTTGACAGATGGAGGGTATGCTGGGGAAAAGAAGATCAAAGTTAATTCTCCAGGCCTCTAGCCTTTAGTGACAGAAGATGGTGAAGCAGTTAACTGAGACTAGGCACAGAGCAGGATCAGAAAATCTTCAATAGAAGTGGAGAAATAAGGTGAGCTCGGTTCAACACGTTGAACCTGTGGGTCATTTATAGAAAAGAAAATTTATTCTATAACTTGGGAAAGAATGCAAGACTGGAGCTACTGTAGTTTTATCGAACTGAGAGGTCTTTAAAGCCAATGACAGAAGATAGAATTATCCAGAAATAAGCAAGACTAGTCAGGACAAGAGCAGACTCCAGTGGAGTCTACATCCTGAGGCACAGGAACTGCAGGTAGGATCATAGTGGGATGGAGCCAGAGAAACCAAAAAAGATGTGGACTAGTACAAGCATAGTAAACCTAAGAGGCTCCACAAGGAGGACCAAATGCACCACCCCCCCCAAATTTAAGAAAGTTCGCATAGAGTAAGAGATGAGAAGAAGCTACTGAATTAGCAACTAATGGAAGTCCAATAGTCCTTAGAGTAGATGGTTTTATGGGGATGCAGGAAGAGAAATAAGAATACAAACCAGAGGATAAAGAGTATAGTTTGAGCTTGAATTACACACACACATACACATCTGCATACACATACACACACGTGTGCACACACACACACACGTACTCATCTCTTCTTTATCATTGTAGCCTCAGGACAAAACATATAGTATATAGTAGGTTCACAATAAAAATATATTGAGAGACACAGTAACGCTGAGCTAACTCTGGATTTTGATATGATGATGAATTTTGTTGTTCTTTGTACCTTTCTATATTTTCCAGGTTCTCTAAAATGAATCTATACTTCCACATTTATTTTGAGAATGCTTGTTTTAAATGTGTTGGTAGTTTAAAGAAAAAGACTAAACAAATCTTTCAAGAAGTTTGGATGAAAGTCAAGAAAATTAAACTTCAGAAAAATTCTTTCAAAATAGTGAAAGGCATGCTGGCCCTCATGGCATATGTCTGTAACCTGAGCACTTGGGAGGCAGAAGCAGGAGGATTTCAGACTCCAGGCTAGCCTGGACTACATAACAAGTTCTAGGAAAGCCTGAGCTACATAATGAGACCTTGTCTGAATGAAAAGAAAGAAGAAATAAAGAGAGAAAGAAAGAGAAAAAAAAGAGAGAGGAAGGAAGGAAGGATAGAGAAAGAAAAAAGAAAAAAAGAAGAAAGAAAGAAAGAAAGAAAGAAAGAAAGAAAGAAAGAAAGAAAGAAAGAAAGAAAGAAAGAGGGAGGGAGGGAATGTGAGGAGGGGATGTGGGAAGGGGGAAAAAGAAGGAAAGAGTAGGGAGGAGGATGGAAGAAGGAAAGAAGGAAACTCAGAGAGGCATGTACGTCTTTACATATGATAAGGAGAAAACAGTGTTGCGCAGACCCTACAGAAATGGGGAAAAAAAGAGGAAATGATCAGTGAGCAAGTCCAAGAGGGAATGGGGTGGATAGCAGAGAAGAATGTCTATTTCTTGTGGTCCAAACAGCATTAAGCACTCAAGAACAGCCAGTTTTGTAGCTTTCAGACACTGTGATCCCTCTCCATGAGTTCATTGCCACAGAAAGCTAGGAGCACTGACCTATCAGCTAGACAGAGACAGCTCTGAACTGAGATGGCACACTCATTTCAGTCTTTAAAATGTGAGCAGTTAATGGAACTGGAGACATGGCTCAGTGGTTAAGAGCACTGACTGCTCTTGCAGAGGACCCGGGTTCGATCCTCAGCACCCACACGGCGGCTACAAACCGTCCTTATCTCCAGTTCCAGGGGAATCCGAAGCCCTCTTCTGACCTCCGTGGCATTGCACGACACGTGTGCACTCACATACATGCAGGCAATACATTCATGACATAAAATAAAAATAATAGCCAGGAGTGGTGGCGCATGCCTGTAGTCCCAGCACTCGGGAGGCAGAGGCAAGCGGATCTCTGTGAGTTCAAGGCCAGCCTGGTCTACATAGTGAGTTCCAGGACAGCTGGGGCTACAGGGAGACCCTGTCTCAAAAAGACCAAAATAATAATAATAAATAAAATTTTTTTAATGTGAGCAGTTAATATACCACAAGAGAGTGAAACCCGACCCTGTTGAATAGTCAAAGCATTGGGGTAGCAACTGGACATAAACACTCACAGAGTATAAACAATATTAGACAAAAGCAGTCAGAGGGGCTGGGGAAATGGTACAATTGGTAAAAAGTGCTTGTTCTCTGCAAGCTCAAGGATCTGAGTTTGGAGCCTTAGCGCCTATGTGAAAAAAAACAAAACTGGGCATGGTTCACGTGCACCTGTAATCCTATCACTGGAGGAGCAAAGATGGTAGCTCTTGGGAGCTCGTGGACCAATTCTTGCTGAATTGGTGAGCTTCAGGTTCAGTGGGAGACTGTTTCAAAAACTATGGTGGAAATCAACAGAGACACCCAATGTTGACCTCTAGCTTCCATGCACATACACACATACATGAACAAACGCACCTGCATAGAATGTATACATGTGCACAGAGAAAGAGAAATGAAAAGGGAGGGAGAGAGAGGGAAAAGGGGAAAGAAAGCAGTCAGGGACTGGATTTGGAACAAGAAGACATAAAACGTTTTAGTATCTCTGCTTTCTGACTCCTTTGCCGAGGGCAGTTCTAGCTGCTGCTTCATCTTTTGCACTTCCCACAGTACAGGTGTGTTCTCTGTGGGCATGGATCAGAAGACTATGAACTACAAATGATACATGCATCCTCAACATATTATGTGTATATTATATAACAACCATAAAAATGTAACTTTAAAAGGTCAAGATAAAAATCTTGGAGTTCTTAGAAAGATGGCTCAGCAGTTAAGAGCACTGGCTGCTCTTGCTGAGGACCCGAGTTCCATTTCCAGCACCCACATGGTGGCTAACAGCCATCCATAACTCCAGTTCCAAAGAATCCAACACCCTCTTCTGAACTCCACAGGCATTGAATGACATGGGTGCACTTACATACATGCAGGCAACACAGTCATACACATACAATAGAAATTAATTAATTAAAAAATAAAATAATAGAATTACCATCTAATATTCCTCTAGAAGGGCTGGGGAGATTAATTCAGTTGATACAGTGTTTGCTATGCAAGCATGAGAACCTAAGTTCAGTTCCAGAACCCCCTTAAAAAGCTAAGCGTGGTGACATGTGCTTTTAATCCCAACACTGGGAAGGCAGACAAAAGAGAATCCCTTGTGCTGGTTGGTCAGCCAGCCTAACCTAATCAGCAAGCCCCAGGCCAACAAGAGACCCTGCTTCCACAAAAAAAGGTGGATGGCTCCTGAGGAATGATACGCAAGAATGTTCTCTGATCATATATGTACACATGTATGTGTGCCTGCACACATACATGTGCCTACATGAACATGCACAGACACAAAAATTAATTAATTAAAATTCTCCTAGGATTTATAAACTACAATCTAATAGCATAAATCTTGCTCTTTTTCTTTAAAAATCAAAGAAGCTGGCAAGGACTACTGTGGTCTTTGTGAAGCTTACCATTAACCTGGGCTCTACAAAGCAGACCCCTTCTGAGTTTAATGATAACTTATGGAAAAACACCTTGTTGCAGGTTTTGACTATCGCTGATAAGCTCGGTGATCTCCTGAATTTGAAATACTTCCCACCCAAGAAGTCAGGACCCCCAATACTCTACAATGAGGAGAGTTTTGACAGCGAAGCAAGCTTTGATGAGATGAGCTTTGATCTTGAAGAATAAGTTTCCTGGTCCTGAATGAAACATAAAAACTGCCAGAAAGACCTCCCTCCTTGCCTCAGAAGGATCAGCAATGGATTTTCCTCCTTCCTACAGACAATTTTGTTTTCCAAACCAGCTTAATTGAACTGAATGTTTGTTTTTAAAGTCTCTAACTCATGTCTACAGAAACAAAACTATAGTTCCAAATTTAAGTCTCTCCTTTGCTGGAAACACCACACACACACACACACACACACACACACACACACGCACGCACGCACGCACGCACGCGCACACACACACGCATGCACACACATGCAAACACTTTTCTTGGAATAATTTTCATGGCAATAAGCCTGTTTTAGCTACTACTGTGCAGCCTCTTTGGGCCAGGCCAGACCCTTTCAGGGTTTCCAAGTAAGTGAAAGGATTTTGATTTCAACTTGGTCATCTCACTATGTGTTCTTGCCTACTTACATGGGAAAGGTGCTGGGAAGCATCTGAGTTCCTTGTTCCACCCATAAAAAGTACCAGCTACAGTTATGTATGTATCATGGTAAGTTCCAGGCAGGAGGGTAAGGCAATGTTGCTTCTACCACTTGCCACATTTGGACTTTGTCCAAGGTCAAGTGTCAAAAGACCCAGTTAATGTTTGGAGGGAGAAAGCAGAGCTGGCCAACAGTGACTAGAGATATCTGTAAATGAAACTTTCTTTTTCCTTTCGCTGTTCTACAGCTAAGCTTTTGCGGTCTGGAAAATTGGAGACTTACTTTATAAAGAAGGAGGAAGAAAGCAAGCACAAGCCAATTTTAGACCTAGACTAAAACTAAAATTGAAACAACAAATGCTGGTGCCATGCACAGTGAATGTTTAGCATGCGTGGCCTTTATTGCTTTGAGGAATAACTTACCATTTTCCTATTGAATTCTGAGTACATGCTGGGACTTAATTTCCATTAGAGCTCATTCCCAACATTACACTTGAAGAATGGCCTGATTCAAGACTGGCATTTAAAGATAAGTTCTATCTCTTTCAAGACTATCATACAGATACGGACGGCTCTATTAAATAATGCTGTCACTTTGGCACATCTACTCAGGTTTGGTGAGAAGTGACATTGCATACTTTGGTGCCACTATCATTTACCACCACCACCATCACCACCCACACAATTTGGACACAGCTTCTCTGAAAACTTAGTCCTTTGCTAATTGGGTCTAGTGGAAAAAGCCAGTGGAAAACCTTATCTTTAACAAGCTCCCAGATGGTGCCCAGACTTGGAAACTCTAAAGAGCAGTGGTGACCTTTTAGCCAAGCTTCTGTAACAGTTCGAATGAGTTACAGAACATTCCACTCCATCAAATGACACTGTAAACAAATCACTTCAAAAGAGGTTTGGCTTTGTGTGACACAGATGGGCCCAAGCTTTCATGCTGTGCGCTGAGATAGAAATTCAACCTGCAGCACCAGAGCTGGATGGAGCTACGCTGAAGCTCAAAGCTTATTCAAGAAAAAGGCGATCAGCATGCAGACCTTTTGTAAATTATAGCACCCTGGTGGGATATGATCTATTTTTTTTAAGTGGATCTCTTGGAGCTAGAGATAACTCTGCATTGAGTGGTTACTCTTCTTCCAGAGGACCTGAGTTCAGTTCCCAGCACCCACATCAGGCATCTCACAACTCCCTTTAACTCCAGCTCCGGAGGATCTGATGCCTGCGGCGTCCACAGGCACTCCTGTACTCACACGCACATACCCACACTCAGACATACATATGCATAGTTAAGAAAAATAAAATAATCTTGTTTAAAAAGTAGATTCCAATGATAAAGTTCCTCATAAATGGTGAAAACCTAAAGGAATACTGTAGTGAAGGAGGAAAAGAAATGGGTGCTAAACACACATCTGCCCATCCAATGACTGACTTTGATAACTAGATTCCAGTGCTTCTGACTGAATTGGTGCAGCATTACTTATGCAGAGAAGGTATGTGTCATATAAAATGTGCAAAGAAAGAAGGCATGTAGGTCTTTTCTTTTTAATATGTGCATTTAAATAAATTTGTTCTTGGTGAATCATCTAAAATGCACAGTGTCCGGAGTTCTACAAAGGAAATGAGTGGTAAAGAGGGCAGACCGACATCTATGCCTCATTCGAGGTCCACCAGGCAGTCAACATCCCTCTTCTCTAGACCTGTCTGTGATCCTCACCTACAGCTTCACACCTACTCTGTTCCAAGACCTCTAGATGACAGGTGTCTTCCTGAGCAGAAATGTCCGTCCTTATTACTTGCATGGAGGAACCTGAGTCCGATTCATCATAAAGAACAAATTATTTTCTCACCTAGCATGCAGCACAAGGAGAAGGTCCTTCCGTTTTCATCAGGATCCAAATGTCCTAGAGCAGCTTGTTAGAGATTTACTTTTCTCAGAGTCGACAATGAATACACACTTAGGAGAATTATAATTCAAATGGAATGTCTCCTGAGTACATTAGGAGAGACCCTGACTCCATAGAGTAATGAAATGAGTATATATCATATAGAATGAGATTGTAAATTATGTGAAATTTTGATTTTTATTAGTAAAAATCCTCTACTGCTAGGTTAATTTACACTGATTTCAATTCAAAAAGTTTTGTTGAGTTGTATTAATCAGAGTTTAGGGTCTGTTCGAATTTTCAGAATTATAACATTTCACATCCCAAACTTTATGTGTATACACAGAGAGAGAGAGAGAGAGAGAGAGAGAGAGAGAGAGAGAGAGAGAGAGTTTCCTTTACAGAGAAAGTATGTATCAGTTCCTTTTCTGTTTCTGGGATAAAATGCCATGACCAAGGCAATTTATGGAAGGGTTATTTGGGCTTACAGTTCCAGAGGTCTGAGTCCATCATGGCAGGGAGGCATGGAAGGAGGCAGCTGGAGGAGAGAGCTTAGAGCTCACATCTTCATCCACTAAGGAAAGCAGAGAGACCTCAAACTGGAAATGGGACAAAGCTATGAACTCTCATAGCCTGCCTCCACTGACGTGCTTCCTCCAGCTAGGCCACACCTTCTAAAGGTTCATGACTCTCCCCCAACAGTGCCACCAACTGACCAAGTGTTCAAACAGCTGAACCTACCGGAGAAATTTCTCATTCAAATCACCACTACAGGGTATAAACAGAGAGATAAGATTGGATGATAGAAAGACGGAAGTTCTAGAAAACAGCCTTTGGGGAAGCAGGAGCTGAAGGTTCCAGCCTGTTGTTTGTAAGGAAGAATGTTTTGAACAATAAGGAAATTACAAAGACTTGCTCCCCATCTTTTCATGGATGATGATGTCATGGACATTTAGCCATACTGCCTTTCAATATATTTTGGTTTGATAGAGATCACAGGCTTCACAATTTCCTAGGATGCCTGTTAACATGCAAATCTACATGACTCACACCAGACTGCCGTTGAGTCAAATAGCAGCAGCAGCCAGGAGACCATATTCTAATGAGCCTTCCAAGGTAATTCCAATGTATGCCAGAATTTGAGAACTATTATTAGAGCTTTTGGTATACCAGTTGTCTCCTATAACATAACAGGAAACTTATTTTGACTATTTGCTGATATTTAAGGGTATTTATACTAGTAAACTAAAGTGAATTTATTCCATGACCATCCTTTCCTACTCAATTAATTTTCTTTCCATTTTCTAAGAAACTTCTCTTTCTCTACAAGAAAATGGACTCAATATTGAAAAGTGAGTTGACAAGATGTCTCTTTTTCCCTTTGTAGGATCTTCTTTCTTTCAATATTCTCTCCTACTACCTTTTAAAAAGTTCAACCTGACTTTTTGTTTATTACAACAATTCATCAGTAATGCTATTTTACCAGTTCTTCAAATATACAATGTTCCTCTGTCTCTTCCTTCAGAAATAGCAAATATATAAAATGCTGACTCTGACTTTAAAAAATCTAAGTTCTGATGATAACAGACTATCTTAAATATATGTTTTGATTTATAACATTCATAATGATTATAATTTCAAAAATAGTGGGACCAACATATTCATATTCTATCCTCTGAGAATGCCTTACCAAGCTATGTAGTATTTTATAAACCAAGAGGATACTGTTTCTATGGGGCTGGGGAGATCGCTCAGTCAGTAAAGTGGTTGCCATGCAAGCACGGAGTTCTGAATTGGGTCCCTAGAACCCACATAAAATCAGGCATGGTGGTCAGTCTGTAACCCTAGTGCTGGAGAGGTGGAAGCAGGTCGATTCCTGAGACTTGCTGACCAATTAGTCTAGCTTTATCAGTGAGTCCTGGGTCCTAGTGAGAGACCCTGGTGGCTTGCTAGGTGTGGTAGTGCACACCTTTAATCTCAGCACTCAAGAAGCAGAAGCAGGCAGCTCTTTATGAGATCAAGGCTAGCCTCGTCTACATAGGGAGTTCCAGGCCAGCTGGGGCTACAGGGAGACCGTGTCTAAAAACAAACAAGTAGGTTAAATAGCTCTTGAAGAAAAATAATACTCAAGGTTGACCTCTGGCCTCCACATTCACACACATACATGAACATACACACACACACACACATACACACACACACAAGAAGAAATTGTTTCAAGGCAATTATTGTGGTGTATCATGTTAAGGTTTTATAATATACAACATGTGGATTGTGTATGTAATATACATGTTTCACTGAAACATTTAAGATGACTAATTTCACTTCATTCTGCTGTGAAATGTTACATTAATAAATAAATCACCAAACTTCATAGTATAAAAATAATAGTGGTTTTGTGTTAATATAATTTAGGTCACTCTAAAAATATATAAGACTGGGGTAAAAATTTGTATTTAGGACTTTTTGTAGAAGCAATTTGTAGAGGTGGCTGGGTGGCTTATATTTTCATGAAAACGAATTGTACATAGCTCCTTCCAGCTTGTATGATGACATCACATTGGAAGCTTGAAATTGGCCCCCATGGAAGTATTGACACCATAGAAACTGGCAACACAAAAATCATGACTCTGGAGAACGAACTGTTAAAATTTAGCAACACACCAGTGAGACCACATACTATGGTACAATTAATGTACAATACTATAATTATAATGCATTTGCAGCAAAGGCCTCAGTCAAATCCACGGTAAACTACGTGGCTAGACAGTCCTTTGGCACTAACTCAAACTGAAGAAACAGAAAA